CCCCAAAACCCCAAAACCCCAAAACCCCGCAAGTGTAAATTTATTTAGCATTTGGGAATTATCAATTATTAATCAAATTTGCATTCATTCTTGATAATAATTTAATAATGGACATTGACAGAAATAGAAAAACTTTGAAGATTGCCCCAAATAAACAAATTGGCACAGCAAATCATAAATTTAGTCTAGGGGATGCAGCAATGATAAATGAGGACTAGGCATAAGAATTGATTAAGGCAGATGAAGAGATAGACGCTACATTCTTAAACCTGGTAAATCGTATCCAGTTTTATAACCAGAAGTCAGAAGATCTCATTGAATCCATATTTGAGTTAGAGGAGCAGGCACGCAAGGCTAAGAACCCAAATCAATATCTTCTAAGTCGAATTAATTCATAGAAGAAGTAGAAATAGCTAATCGATAGATAAATTTAGAACTTAGAACTGTACATGAGTGAAATGATTTCAGGTTCTGCTAAGTTTAAGGAGTAAAGGGATCAACTTCTTGGCAATTATTTCAAGAATAAAGCGTCTCAGAGTAATCAGGATTTTCCTTCAGATATGATTACTCCTTAGCCATAAAATAATGATGATGAGGAGTAAGAGGAAAAAGAAGAGATATAACAATAATTAGAAGAAATAGATTAGAAGCTGAAAGAGATAGAGGAATTTATGAATCGTGATTATGGTATTGATGAGGAGTGCTTGCTGATGTATGAGCCTCTCTTTGATTAATACGACTTGGAAATAGTCAATGCTCCACTGATTGAGTATACTTAGAATGACTTGCCTAGCTATTACCCTGAAAACGGCATATGGTTTAACAATGAAGATGTTAGCATGAATAGATAGACATAAGGTGGTAGTGAGCCTACTGCTTAGGAATTGGAAGAGTTGGAGAAGCTTGAACAGGAAGATTTCGATAAAAAGAGAAGGGATCGTAAAGGTACAACTACTGATAAGAAAAATCCCGTGACTTCTAGCGTGGGGTAGAAGTTCTTAAATCTTTTCAAAAAGAAATGATCTGATACAAATATCTAATGAGTTATAATGATAAAATTAAGCCTTAATTTAATAAATCAAATGAATCATCACTCAGTCATTTCATATGGAGCTTCTTGAAAACATCCTCCTTCAAGTGATTTAAACTTTCAGCTTCCTCTACAATCTTCTAATGTTCAGTAGTCTTAAGCTTATCTTGCTAGTTCAGATTCTAGCTGACTGCTTTGGCATTCTTTAGGGCGGTTTTCATCTAACCTTGCTTTGCTTTTCTCAGCAAGTAGTAAGCTCCAAATATAGAGAACATGATAAATCTCTTGTACTTAGAAATCGGCATTCTATCATCTTCCAATTTTTCAGGCTTAATAAGTACATCATTTCCAAATATACGTTGGCATTCATAGGTAATCTCATTCTTGCTCCACCCTTTTCTAACTAGCAATCTGATGATACGCTTCTGATCTAAAGCAGTTGGACTCTCACTATCTTAAATGGCTCTCGCAGTTTCTTTAGATGAAGCATCTCTTATCATTTCATAAACTTCTGCAAGAGTCTGTTCTTCTTTCTTGGCATTAAGAAGGGCTTGGTTTTTCCTCTTTTTAGCATGAAGGTCATAGTTCTCGTCCCATGAGCTCATGTTTATTGCAGTCATTTAGTTTCGATATTTTTCCATTATTTTCTTTCTAATTTAATAATCACCTCACATCATTAATTAATTTAATTTAAAGGGGGTTTTGGGGTTTTGGGG